GTCTGGCACACAGCATAGCAGGCACCAAATAAGTGCTCGATGCCCCATAGCTGATAATTTATACCTAAGAAAAGGATTGAACACATTCTGCCGATAGTAGTGTAATGTCCAAAAATATATTAGAAGCCATCAATTTCAATCTCCAGGTCAGTAGTTCTCACATTGACTGCAAATTAGAATCAACTGGGAAGCATTTGAAACTATATCGCCCGGGGCAATTTGATGAGAACTGCAGGGTTAGGACCAGCATATCAGTATTTCTTGTCTCCTAGAGCATTCCAATGCGCAGCCAAGATTTAAAAACACTGCTCTGAACAGATGCAAGTGTCCCTTCTGTTAAACTAAGGATGCGTATTTGAAAACGTGTATGTCTTTTTTATAAACACTAAGCTCAACAATTAGAGCTGGGAAAGGATTTCAATAAGTTCAATCTCCTTGCCCTGAGCCAGGAAAAGGCAAGTCCCATTTTACAGCTGAAACACTTGAGCCCCAGACTGGTTAGCTGGCTTGCCTAAGGCCCCACACTTAATTTCCCATGGATTGGAAAATAGAATCCATGTCTCCTGCCTGGAAGAACAGTGCCTTGTCCACAGCATCATACAATCGGGGCCACAGGGTTTCAGAGAGGGCCTCGCCATCTCAGGCAGGCCCATTCTTATCAAGCAGTTATCCTACAATAATGAGAAAACTAGAATGTTACTAAGTATTTCATAAAGGTGAAAATTATGTTAATGATCATTATTAATTAGCCAACTTTGGTTTGGTTGGCCCAAAGGGAGAAATTGATGGACATTTTTATTTTGTGAGAAAATAAACAACTTTAGAAAAGTCAAGAGGAAAAATATAAAACCTAACACCTTCACTTTGAAAAAATTTAAAAGCAAAATTTTACAGGACTTCTAAGTGAATTAAATGTCCAGCTATTTAGCTAATAAGCATAGACAATCTAGTTTCTTTTTTATTCTCTACAATAGAACAGATTTGCAGCTTTGAATTGGAAGAGAGCTTCCAAAACCTCTGACTCATAAACTTTCTAGGTGTAGAGGGGAACAAAGTTGCATTTTTTCTTTAGTAAATATAGAGAGAAGAAAGTAAAGTACCCACCGAACAAATCATCTGCTACTTTACCAATTAATGTGTGTCACTTACTTCAGCTCCTTCTTTGCATGTGAATTCCTGTCTTTTGGATCCTACTTGTTCTTATCAGCAAGAACCACTGAACCAACAGATAAACAAGGTAGGAAGTAAAAGCGCTTATTAGGTTCATTAAATAAGCAAAAGTGGTAACACAGAAGAGAAACATTAGAGGCAGTCCACAGCCCTAAATTTCTTCTCATTATGTTCGTCTGTAGTTATGCAGGAGATAGAGTTCTAAAAATTACATGTATAAGTTTTCCATTTCGTTAACTGCATTTTTAACTGCCCTAAAAAAGTTGGCCATTTAGTGGAACCCTGGAGTAAATCCAGAGTTCTGTATTGAGAATTTGAGACCCTAATTTATCTGTCTGGTGAACCTCTGCTTTGTTCGAGTTGTCTGAAAACAAGGCCCATCTGTGCCATAACAATTTGATAATAACTATTTCCTGTTCCTAAGATGCCTCCTTGGGCGCTACAGCAAAGAAATGCCAAGGCCAAGTCAATGGAACATCAAGACAACCAGCCGATTCAAAGAAAATCAGTCAGGCCTGCCTTTCCTTATCATGTAGATCTTTCCCTGACACGAGTAACAACAGTAAAAAGCAGTCGTTCAGTTCATTCATTTTCTAGCAGTAGAGTTGAGTTTATTATACACGGTTCTGTTGCTTTTAAAAAAGAAGTCAACCAAATCTAATTTCAGCATTGTGCAAATCATTTAATCAATTGACTGTAAACCTAATCTCCATTGGTGTTGGCATTGTGCAAACTCAGGACACTGAGTGACCTAAGGAAATGCATATCCAAGGTACCACCCAAATCATGTCGGAACAGAGGTTGGCAAACATTTTCTATAAAGGGCCAGATAGTAAATAATTTAGGTTTTGCAGCCCATATGGTCTCTGTGGCAACTACTTGAGTCTTCTGTTGTAGCAAAAGCAGCCCCGGACAATATGTAAATGAACAGATGTGGCTGTGCTCCTATAAAATGGTACTCGCAAAAACCGCTGCCAGGACTGACTTGGCACTCTGACCCCTGATTTAGACCCTTGGGAAACTGTTCGTAAGATCATATCACTCCAGAATATTGTGATTGTACCTTTTTAACTTTTCTAATTAAAGTGTGGAAAAGGATAGACGGGAAAGAATTTGGCATCAATTCGATCACACACGATGGGCTCACGGAAGGTGAGAGTGCTCTCTCATCACTATCGTTACTTATCAGTAGACTTCACAACCCTTTACCTACACTCTCTGCTTTAGCTCTGACAAAAACCTCGTAAGGCAGGCATTAGAGCCTCCATTTTCCAGATTTTTAAAAATATAAGGTTAAATAATTAAGGTGCAGAGCCAGCTTTGAAACCCAGTCTTGCTCACTCCATCGCTCCTACTGTTTCTACGGCACTGTTATTTATAGGCCTAAACAGGGCTTCTCTCCGCGGTGGATGTTAGAACTTCACATCCACACGGGATGGGACCTGCGGGACCAAGCACAAAAGCCAGGGGGAGGACCTGAAGGGGGAATGACTTCTTTATCCAATTGATCAGTCAAGCAAATCTCAAATCCATGGTGGGGCTTGAAGATTTCCACTCTGTGTGCCAGCAAGTCTGAGCTGATCTGAACCAAAGCCCATGTTCACATTTAGTCCACAAAGGAGGGTCATGGGCCAGGTAGTAAGGAGGCAACATTTACGAAGTGAATGTTTTCTTAACCCTTTCCAGAACCCCATAGTACAGTCATTTCAGCTCATGCCTTGAGGGTGTTTTCTGAAAAAAGAAAGTGCCTTTTCAGCACTCTTGGTGTCTGATTTCAAACCCTGCCCTTCCATCAGGTGATTCTAAGTGGGTTGATGGTGCTGCCCTGTTTTTACTGGTTTTCCCACAGGGTTTAGTCACCAGATGCCCTCGGTGCCCTAGACAACGGTCTTACTTGGTTGGATCCAGGATCCAGGGACAGGTCCAGTGCCCAGGGCCTTTCCTACATTCCTGTAAGGTGCCAAGGACAATTAAAGAGAATTTTGGTTGTGTGCATCTGAACACGTAGAACTGTTCACCCCAGTTATTCCACTGACAAGCTTACAATGTGGCCTCTCTGAGGATGAAGTTTTGCTGCGCCTGATTTGAACTCCAAGAGTGTGATCAGGGAACATGCCTCCAGCATCCTCTTTTTAAAAAATTCTAGTCTCTTAGAAGGAATTAAAGGGAAAAAAATGTAGTGTATAACCAAGAAGGGAGAATATGAACACAGGGAAGCAACCCATGTCTCAGATACTTAAACAAAACCAGAGAAATCAACATCATTTCAGTGGCATTTCGCTATTGGGAGCTCTGCAGACTGGATATTATCTTACCCCATTTTACATATGAGAAACCTAATAAAAATAAAAGGAGAGTGACTCTCTCTGAGTAAGCAGAAATCCCTCCAGGGGCTCACATAAAACCCACTGATTCAGTTCTAAGGTCATATGGACGTGCAGCAGCTCTCAGCAAAGACACTAATGCCCACCTGCCCTCGACCACAAGGTACTCCCATGGGGCTGCTTGCCCTTGCCCCTGCAGGTTAGGGTCGTGCTCTATCTTTCAGGTAGCAGTCGCGCACCCCCCATACGAGAATATCTCTAATAGTCTTGGGAGGATTCCATAACTCTCAAACCCAAATTAGGATTCATTTCTTTTTATTTAAAACAATTGCATCTTGCCAGTATCAAACAATTATGAGACTTCGCCATCTGAAAAATTTTGAAATTACTCCTCCATATTACACGTTAACCAGCTCAATGCCAGAGAATTTACACAAGAAATTAAGAAACAGTGAAATGATGATAAAGAGACTGTAGGTTATGTTTTAATCAATGAAGGTATGTTTTGAGAACCTTAAGGCTCCAACAGAATATCTTTTTGTAAAATAAATACACTTCCTAATTTATCTTTTTGTGTAAAGCTAGATTCTCTTATATCAAGTTCGCTCGAGGTAAGATGTACTAAATTCATTAAAAGGCATTTTAAAGACCTAAGCACCTTTGAAAAGACAGCGAGTTTTTGGTAATATTTCTTTTTTGAGGAACTACAGAGTAACAAGCTTCAATTCTCATGAGATCATTGAGTTGACTTTATTTTGATAAAGGAATATTGTAGATAATCTTTGTATGATTTTAATTATTAGTAACGCAAGTCTCTGTTCAGTCCCACATAATGGAAAATAAAGTTCACAGTGTTCCATCCAACTGCAGGGATAAACATTAAGGTCAAAGAAAAACCTGCTGCCCCTTTGCACAGGGACGCACGAGCCTTGCCACAGGATGGGAAGAAGGATGACAAGAGGCAAGACGGTGAAGCGGGTGAAGACTTGCTCTACAAAGCCAACGTTACACACTGTCCCAGTGAATTCGCGGAAACAAATCACGCCTTTGGCAGAAAGCTAAGTAATTCAGAGAGAAACAGGCCCACAGAATTGAACCATGTGCTAAAGAGTAGCTGTTTATAAAATAAAGTCATATAAGAACTCCACAGTTTTCCCCTCCCAGCCCCAAACCAATATAACATTTGGCTTTTGTTTTGTGAATCATAAATTGCCCTTTCTTCATCACGGTGATTCATGCACAGCAGAGGAGGTACGATGAGCTGTCCCACCTTGGAACAGTAGTTCGTTCCCCTCCAGCCTGGAAAATCAGCATCACCTCTGACAGGCTGGTTTCTCCACCAGGCTCTCTCTCACCCACCTCAATCCTCCCTGCTCCCCTGACTCAGAACCCAGACCACTGTTGCCCCCATGACCACCACCAACTCTCCGATTACAGGCTAACTGGTGAACCCCCAACCCCTACCCATGCTTACATGACTCTGACAGCCGCAGCCAAACCACTTACATTTTTGCCAGAGCATGGCCTGTGACAGGATGTTGCCTTTTCTCTTTGAAGCAGACAGTTTGGCTTCTTTAATGTGAGACCTGGGTGTGCTTTCCTCCAGTGTAGCCACTGCCTGCTCAGAGGCAGTTTCCTCAGCTTTTTAAAGACCCAAGTTCCCGCTGCGCAGAGGCACAGCGTCATCACATCCTCCCACCTCAGGCACCGTGCACTTTTTCTTCAGCAAGGCTGCCTGCCACCCCACTATGTGCACCCTCAGAGGCCCGCTGGCTACAGATCACTTCGCTCACAGAGCCAGCCAGCTGGATCCGAACAACAACACAGCACAGAAGGCCATGGTCCTTTGGACGTGGCCACAGAGTGTGATGTGATGATGTGCAGTGAGGGCAACAATGTGTGTGACCGTGAACTGTGTGAGCATCTGTGTCAAGTCTTGTACTTCCCCACACCAACGATGAGCCCAAAAGACCCCATGGAAAACTTAGTTTTCTGTGGTCCCCATTCAGGCTTCTACACCGCCAGGGTGACAGCAGGACTCGGTCCACCATGGGCCCTGCTCAACGGGAAATGCTATTCCCAGGGGTCACTGGTTCTCACTCAACACAGGAGGAAACACCTGTAGTTTCTTCAAGCCTCACTAAACAACCTCCTCATTCTTTTAATATTGCTTTTCTGTTTATTCCATTTTAAAATACAATAGCCCCTCCCCCTAGCCCCTAAGCCACCACCAAAATGGCAGGGCTTAATCATGCTTAAATGTGAAGGACACTGGTTCTGATGGTCCATATACCCACAGAGAAAGAAGTCAACTCACTCGGGAAAGAAAGGAAAAGCCACTCGTGCTGTTTAACTGGAGCTGGTTACTCAAAGAGAACTTTCAGACACAATACGAAAAAGACCTCTAGCCCGGTGCCCACCCAGCTGTTAGCACGAAGCTTCTCAAAGGAAAATAGTGGGGTTCACCATCAAATAGTATATGGGGTGTTAGGCCACAGACTGCTTCCCAGTTTGGAATCCTTCTGCCACTGTGTAGGTGAGGTCCACATGCTCAGGCCCTGGCAACCCAATCAGTTTTGGGTCAGGACCATCTGGCAAGGACCCCTAGGGCAGGTCTGGGGCCTTGCTGCTCTGCCTTCCAAGCTGCCTCAGAGCCATCTTACACAACCTAGACCGAATCATGCCATTCTCCAGCTTAAAAAGCCTCACCCACTCCCTTCAGCCACAGAGCTGGAGGCACATAAGGACCCTCACAATCTAGCCCTTGTTACCTTGTTACCCATCGTCCACCACCACCACCCCCTGCCCCTCTGGCTGGTCCCCAGAGCCTTTTATGCTCTACTCTGCACACCCATGCAATTCTCTGCCTTTGAACTTGCTGTCCTCTCCTGCTGGCTCCTTGTCCCCAGTTCCTCGCCTAAAAATCACCTCTTCACTTTTCAAGATCCAGCTCAAATAACACCTTTTTTGGTGAAAAATGTTCTGACCCATCAAACCTCCTAGCCCAGAAAATATTCATCCCTCTTATCTTAGCTCCAGGACTACTTTGTTCGTTATATGACAGCAAATTGTTGCATGACTCTGTAGGTTCCTCAAGGAGGTTCTACCTTTGTCTCCCAGGTGCTTTACGTAGGACCTGGAGTATACTCATCCCTCAATAAAAATGTTTAATGAAGTAATGGATGTAACGAATTACTGTCTCTAATGAGTCGTTGGTTTGAAGGCAGGTCTTAAGGAGAAATGCTGTCCATGAAAACGACTCACTCGAAAACAGAGAAATGTATCTCCTGGCTGAGTTATGAGCCCTCACTCCAAAGCCTCTGGACTTTAGGACATGGAGGGCTCCATACTGTCAGTGGCCTGGCAGATAGCAGTGTCATAGAGCTTTGGACCACACAAAGAAATATTCACCGTAAGCAGAGACACATCCAAGAGGCCTGGCTCAGTTGTAGGAGATCTGGGTCCCATCAAGGCCCTGCCACTCATTGGCTGTCCCCCTTAATCAAGTCAGATAACTCTTCTGAGTCTCCCTTTTCTCATTTATAAAATGAAGAAGCAGTTCTTGGAATGTCTCACTGGGTTCTTAGGAGGATGTGTGAACTCACTGGCCCTCTCTCACTGGCTCTGTATTTTGAGCATCCGTCTTCTTCTCTCTAATTTCCATAAAATTAAGAACTTTTTAAAATTCATCTTTCTTTCTCCTCATAGACCTAGCATAATGATTTCTGTAAAATAATAATAATAACTACTTACTATGCACCAAGCTCCATGTTAAGACTTAACTACATTATATAATCTAGTCACCACAACTTTGTGAGGAAACTTCTATCCATATTGTTCAGAGAAACAAATGGATGCTTAGGAAATTTAATTTTCCCAGTGTCACAGGACTATCAGGTATAGGCTGAGTGTCAGACCTCAGTTCATCTGACTAGATCCAGAGCTTTAAATAATTACACTAATAAGCATTCATTAAGTTGAAATTAGCGAAAGCCCAATGTCAGCCATGTTTGTTAGTAGTAATATAGGACCACTGATACTAAAACCTGGAGCAAATCAATAGAAGTTTATATCCCCTGGGGTAAATCCTTGTCCTCAAGAAAGAGGGGAGGAAGAGGACAAACCCAGAGGCACTTTGAAAAACCAAATCTAGCAAGTCCACCATCATGGCCAGCTATAAACCCCGCCCCCTCTGACAACTCAAAGCCCAGGAAACAGCCCCAGCTCAGAGCTTCCCATAGAGACCCTAGGTATTAATTATTACATTTGGGCAGGTATTTGAGAACCAGATTTGATTATAATGTCAAATATTTGCTAAGAAGATGTTTTCTATGACTCGGAATCAAAAGTCAAACTACATGGCATAGTTCGAAAAAAGATAAGTAGTCCATTTTATGCAATAAGCCAAGAAGTGGAAAGGAAAAAAATCCTATTAATGTCATCCAGGTGTCTCCAAATACAGGTGTGCTCACATTTTTTAAAAATGAGACATACCAAATCAAAACCCCTAAAATACTTCAGTAAAGAGCAGTGCTTCATATTGCAAAAAGAACTCAGCTTTGCAAAAAGGATTCACCACTGACTTCATTTCTTCTTTCACTCAACAAGTGCTCATTAGGTGCCATTATCTATACTAGGCTTCTTTTTCCCCCTTTTATATGAGCTTTAAGAATCCTTTTTATCCATGGCACCTTGTCATCATTAGTCCACAAACGGTCCTTCTCTTATTTATTTATTCGTTCATTCTTTTGTTCATTCATTCATTTATTCACTTTCCTTCCCATCTTCCATGGCTATTCTTTTTCCTGTCTGCCCCCACCTCAGCACTATGCTGTAAGATTCAACATTGCTATGTATACATTTTAACTATCACTTCTAATGGCTTGAAAGTATTTCACGGACTGTAAGCACTACATTTTACTGAACAAGATTATCTCCAACCTCTCCCTCCACAAAGTAAAACATCAATAAACATTGTGATGTGCATTCTTTTACAGAGGCATGTCAAAGTTTTCTTGGGGCTATTTGGCCAGAGGTAGAATTCCTAGGTCAAAGAATATGCATATATGTGAGTTCGCTAAATACAACCAGATTGCTCTCCAGACTCCCTGCAGCAGTTCATGAGGCTTCACATATTCCCATTCCACCACCAGACTTGGCATCATTCAGCTTTCTAATTTTTGCCAATGTAATAGATTTGGTGATAGTTTATTGTGGTTTTATTTTACATTACTCATACTAATAAATTTGAGCATCTCCTCATATGCTCGTTAACCTCTGGATTTCCTCTTTCCCCAAATGCCTGTTTATTCCTTTGCCAATTTCTCCCCCTGGGGTTGTTGTCTTTTTCTTGCTGGTTAGCAGGAGTTTTTGTATATCCTATATGTGTGATTCTACATTTTATCAGTTTTTCTCAGTACAAATTTCTTTCTAATCTATCATCTCTTAACTTTATTTATGATGTCCTTTTTTTGAATAGAAATCCTTAAGTTATATATATGGACCTGCCTTGAACTCTGTTTTATTTCATCTACCTCATTGTCTGTTCTTGTACTAACATTGTACAGGTTTCATTATTATTTATTAGAGTACATCTTAAAATTTTAGAATAAGTTTATCAAGTCTCTCAATTTCCAATTCCATTTCATTTATGGATTGCTTTAAGGAGGGTTGTTATCACTATAAGAGTAATTTGGCCCATCTAAGCATGGGATAGCTCTCCAAATACTGAGATCATATTCTATGTTCCTTATTATTAGAGTTTTAAATTTTTTCCCACAGAAGTCTAGAGTATTCTTAGATAAATTAATTCTTAATATTTCATAGTTTCTTTTGACATTGTGAATAGCATCTCACTTTTTATTATATTTTCTAGTTGGTTATTGTTGGTATAGAAAATTCTAATAATATTTGTGAATTATCTTTTTGGCAAGTGCTGAACACTTATTAGTTCTAATAATTTGCTCCTTATCGTGGTCCTTCCAGGTAGATGATCATCTCTTCTAAAAATAATGGCAGTTTTATCTTTCCCTTCCAATCCTTACATCTCTATTTCTTTCCTTTCTTTAGAGTTTTGGCCAGCCCTATAATGGTGATAGTGGTTATTTTTGTCTTGCCCTTGTCTTGAAAATATGATGAAGATAAATACTTAAATTTTTTTAAGTTATGCAATATCTAAGATTAAAAGTGCTCTCGAATAGTCAAATAATAGAGGTAAGGAAAAACTAACATCTGGAAACATTATACCGCAATTTAAAAATAACTGCTACAAAGAGAACCTTCTAAAAGCTTACTGAGAAAAAAGAGTATATCAATAATTGAGGAACAAGAATCGTATACACTTCTCAACAGCAAAACTATATGCAAACCAACAATGAAGAAATATTTTTAAAGCATTGAAGAAAAGAACATTGAACCTATAATTTTAAATCCAGCCAAATTTTCCTTCAAATATTGTAACATAACGAAAGTATCATGACTCATATAAGGCCTCACATTAAAATTGCTCCTGGATGAGGTACTCAAATAAAAATGGCAATCTAGGAAGATGCTACAAAACACATGGGAACTAAAGGTGGTCAAATACTTGTACAAAGTTTATTATAGGAATTTTCTTAAAGCTGGAAAAAAAAAAAGAGAGAA